GCTTTTTGTTCGTTTTTTTTAGCCTACTGAAATTTACTCTTGAGAGAATCGTGTTAAAATTTTCTAATGCTATTTCTATATGAAATTGTTTACAGCTGTTTACTTTGTAATGAGTAAAGCTGTGACACTACCAGTCTAAGGGAAGGCCCAGCTGTGTTACAACAATCGTTTAGTAATGAAGGCCGAAGTTTGCGATGCTTTGTGCACACTCAAGGACGCGTTATGCGCGGAAATAGAAGTGCAGCCGAACGTTGGACGTGTAGGAACAACGAAACGACCTAGCGCGATCGGAGCCAGCGGTTACCGAAACGCATATGGCAAGATCGTTATTTTGGCCGAACTCCTGCGCGATCATGCCCCAGTGTAGTCCTTAAAATGGAGTGTGTAATTATTACTATTCAGCAGATAGGCGGAAAGAAAACGACAAATATTCTTCTTCTCTGTTTGACGCGTTGCTGATCTCCGTTGAACGCCGTATATTCTCACCAGTTTTCGTACTTTGGCTTTAAAATCAGTACTAGCGTATTAAACAAGCACATGCGTTGCGTAAAAAGGAGATTTTTATTCGATACAACTTATGTTAACAGAGTAGATGGGAACGATTGTTTGAAACGTAGCCTATGGGTCACGCTTTTAAGTTGCATTTATTTATCAAACTTCCTCCCCGTAGGCATTCTTATGCAGGCGCATTTGACGCCTAAGAGCCTTTTTTATGAAACAATGTATTGATACGTTGGTTTTCTAATCGTAATTTGCCTTTAGGCAAAAGTCTTATTGTAGTAGTTTGCTATTAAGAAATATCATATTACGCTGGCTAATACAAACATTGTGTTAAAGATTATGAAACAACACTCACTCGTCTGATAACGGCTTGTTGGTTACTTCCAGGTCTATCCGTACGGGGTCATCGATACGTATCGGCAGAGTCCTTTTGGGAGCCCGTTGGCCATGGGGCTCATTTCTGGCAGAGAATAGCGGTGGAAACGGGGGCTTCTCCTCCTTACAAAATTTGGGTACGTCACCTAACCGGTCCACGGGAATTTCCTCGTCCCTTGGAGCTTCAAGTCAGCCGCTCGTTGGGACAGCGTGTAGCAGAGGCTTCGCGTTGAAACCAATTGCAGCCGGACACAGTAAGTTTGTCAACCATCACTATTTTCATGAAACCAATTAACCTGTTAATGCAAACAATGCAAAAGCTAATCAGCATAGATCAATAAAAACAGGTGTGACACCATCCAATGTAAGGTCAATGAAGGTTTATTGTATTCTATTAGACCAAAACTTTATGTATATGTAATAAAAATGTTTTATATTACGTTCTGTAGCTGTGGTTCACGTTCAATCCTCCACAAGCTTACAAGTGACTGCGCTGTTGACGTTACGCAAGACAGCACAAGTTTTGCGACCAACGGATATATATGTTGTTAATTAAGTTTAAATCAATTAGATCAATTTATTTTTTAAACGTAGATTTTCTAGTTCTGAATTAAATTTTAAATAATATAGTACCTTTGTTAATTCCGCACAGCGATAATTGAGGGAGCCTGGCCTCGCTTACAATGAAAGCTGGATACAATGCCAACAGTTCTTTTATACACGATATTAATATGGCTAATAGTTTACTACTGCTCTATTTTCGTCATCTTCCAACCAAACGAAGTTCTTCGTTTGGGTTTTTCGATAAGATTGGGTTGTTAATTAAGCTCTGCCAGGTATTGCATGTGGGCTTAGTGCAATATGTAGGTGTTACATATTAGCGGTGACCATGTACAATACAGAATAATAATGAAGATGCAGTAAACTAAAGAAAGCAACACAGTTGGCATGTCAGGCTCAGACTGTGGGTATCGACCAGGAAACCAGTGAACTGTCTAAGTAGTGCAGACACACACTGTAACAAATCAGCGAAATAGTTCAGCTTGGCACGTGATGACTGAAACCATAGCAGTAGCATTCCATCCGTTATCGTGTCATTTAAAGTCGGTCTTCGCCAAACGAATGTCTTTATTTGATCGAATAATATATACCGTTGTTTTTCTTTCTCATCGCTGATTTCAGAGCGAGCCTTTGGCCCGGAAAGATGGTGGTCAAATGGGCGCTGGGCACTCATAGCGGGTGCAGTGGGAGCAGTGGGAGTTTTAGCGACACGAGCTGCCTTCAAAGACACATCGGAAACACCAGCCTCATGGGAACTCAATGAACTTAAGGTTAGATTATTATACAGGACGAAGTACGTAGACGTTTATACTTAACCGGGTCATGTCCCTCTCAGGTCCAAATATCGTTTCTTCTTCTGGTGTTCTTAGGCACATCCCTATAATAAATCGTTGGTCTTTGTTGTCGATATATTTTCACGTGAAACAATCCAGGTGTTTGCATCTAACCAACAAAATACAGCATACTTGACGAAAAACACTGGTTTGTTCCCACTTCATTTTTTTCGGTGCTGGGAACATGTGCGCCATTGCTAATGGGAAAGTAAGAGTCTTCTCGGGTGGCCTAATAAGCGTCAACCCTTGTGCTGAACAATTTAAGAACAAAATAACGGCACCATAGTCCGTTTATCAAACAGAACCATTTCCTTATAGCGTAGTATTACTACTACGGGCGCCTCGCAGGTCGATATAAAGGCACAGCATAGTGACAAGGAGTTCGCAAAGCCTTGCGAGTATGTGTGATATGTAAGTACACGTATCAGCAAGTATACTCTTAACCAGTAGATTAGAAGCTAGGTAAATTAACTATTCTTCGCTACAGAACAAGAATACGAAGCAGTATTGTTAAAGATGACCTTAACGAGGCATCATTGTCATATATAGGATTAAAAATCAATCCTGAAAGATGCTACTCTTCGGACACCTTGAATTGTTCCATTGGTAACGCTTGCTATTTATTCTTGGCCCACCTAGACATCACGTCCTAAATGTTTCACAATGCGATTTCAACGTCGCTATTTGGGTCTTCGGCATTTCCTTGAGCCTCAAATGCTGGTGCATTGATCAAGGAATACAAAACTCGTTTAGAACTTTTCACGGGGATTCCCCAAAGGGGTCCTTGTTTTTGCGACTGCTTGGTACTATCTGATTTCCCGTCGGATAAGACATGCGCACAGAGTTAAATGGAGGTATTGATCGGCTATTGAGGCATTGGTCGCTTACATCAATCGTGTGTTAACAACAATAGCATTATCCAGCATTTTGTGCATCGCGTCCCGCGTTTTTTTGTTCGCTCCGACGCTGGTTATGAATCTGGTCATTGATTTAAGCTAATATATTTCTCGGGTCATTGCGGTTCTCAGTTTTCGGCAGCTGACGTTGATATATAAAAAAAATATATATATATATATGTATATCTCTAAAAATGAAAAATCTGACTAGTTTGTCAATTACTTCATTGTTGCTCCGATAATGTCGCGTATTATAAATTGTCGTTGTGTTAACTAAGTTTGTCGATTCTTAATTCGGTATTAGATGTTGGATATCGTTTGGCGAAGTGTTGTTGATACAGTAAGGTAAGGAACTTTTTTTTGGTAGATAAATATGGAGGAAGCACAATTCAAGCGTATGGTACTTTACAGTTTGTATAAAGGTGAAAAACTCACCAGAATTTGTGCGAACTGCGCAAGATGTAAATATCCTACGAATCCGTGTACATTTATTATCACATCGGTGTAGTACATTGGCGTAGTACCCCGACCGTACGAGAATATTGTGCGAGTTAAATCCTACGTTTTTATGCAGAAATTCATAATTTTGCTTGCGTTTCTCATAGTCAAGTGTAATTAGGTTTCTGAACGTAAGACACAGTAATACTTACGAACGTTTCAAGATTCCTGGCGTTTATAGATAAGAAACCTTATTGTCACACTATACCATACTATTATTAGTGTGTATGTGTACTAAACGAACCAATCCAGCATAATGCAGCCATAAGTCGCACAGATGCTAGAAAAAGTTCATAGCTAAAAAAACTTTCTGTTGAGGTACGAGATAAAAAGAAAAATGCATCGACATTAATCTTTTCAGACCCTATTTCGTAAACCCTCCTGTGAAAAAAACAGAATAGCGTCCACATTTGCATGTAGTTCAATTTCTTATTTAAATTTTCTGATCGCCTACCAAGGTTCATAGGCCAATGAGATAGGAAATGTCCGAGAAAAATCGGATCGTCGATATATGTACGTTTGTAGTAGGGTTTGAATGGTTCATCGGGTTTTATTATACTTTTTTGTTATATAAACAATTGTTTTTTCTCTATGCCATTTTTTTACGTTGCTCTAATTGTACGCTGATCACTATTAAGAGATGGTTGTGAAGTATTGTGACTATTGACGGTTTCGAAGCGCGAACGAAGCTAGTGTTTGTACACATTGCTCGGCGCATGCGACGCTGAAACGAACCCGGTCATTCAAGCTTTACCTACAAAAATTTGTCATCAGTATTATTTTTGTTGTAACGATTCTAATCGGCTGGTTATCTCGCGGTGATGACCTTTGCTGTGGCACTGCAACCCCCCCCCCCCCCGCGCTTTCCCGGCAGACGCTTACGCTGTTCTGATGAATTCTCTACGTTAACTACCTTTACTACCATCTTCGATATTCAGATGCTCGATGGATAACGGCCTGAACCCCAAAATTATGGAATATGCAGTATTGACGGTAGGCAAAGGTTGCGGTTCCGTTTTCGTCTGATCAGTCGGTTTGTCTGCGTATCTGGCCGTGATGTTGTCTAAGCTAAAGATCTAAATGAAACGAACGCCTCTAACCTCTTGCGTTGCCCCGCTCGGCTCCGTTCTGCTACGGCGCCTTTGACCGTCGCATTGCCGCTCTATTATAGTAGCAGTTCCATTGAAGCAAGCAAAGCAAAGCAAAAGCTTAATTTTCCTTGATGTGCTACAGCGGTCGCAAGCTCCCTTTCCCCAATCTTCTCTCATATAGCCATGCTACCGTTGTTACTCCGGCTCCTTCGTGCTAGTGATGCTCAGCTACCGATGACTCTCGCTGCGGCGGGCTCGGTGGCTGATCAGCTGTGGTGTGTGATGTCTCAGGCCCCAGATACAATGCTGTCAGAGAAAAATAGGAAAATACAACAACACAGTAAGAAGCTGCGGCTGCTGTAGCAGTAACAGCAATGATGGCGATGTTGGTGACAAAAGCAGGGACAAACGCCGGCTAGTTTTGTCATCCCGCTCAGCTGCACGCTACGTATTGGTGTGTGTGTGTGTGCCGGAGTGGGCGCGAGAGTTTGGGAACAAAGATGTTGCTTGAATATCGGAGCATCTGTGAATACATAATTTCTGTATAACGGACAGAGAGAGATCATCCTGAGCTTGGTATAGAGATAGCTTTCAACACCATATTTGTGCCAGTACCATCGCGTATCCTGATGCCGACGCTGATTCCGCCGCCATTAGGGAGGGAAGTGGGCTGTGTTTGCTACGATCACTATAACGAAAATATAATGCGATAGAAAAAAAAGGCTGCATGTGATCGACGATGACGAGAAACTTCTGAAAGAGGGCTCTCAAAAGGAAATAGACTGAGGCGGCAGTGGAAATCGATCAGAGAATAACAAAGTCTACCCGTTCATGCGATCTATGCTGACTGAAGGGAGCTGAATCCACAACACATGTACTTGACTCGGCAAATCTACCAGAATGTCCACCAGCTACCCTGTGTTGACGTGTGAATCTCTGTGTGAGAAAGCAATACGTCATTTCAATGTATTCTTTACTATAAGATGCTGCGGCTGGGGTCATCTGATTTTGTCGACCGCCGTGTCGACCAGTTCACTTCAATCTGCTGTGGGATCACCGTTTATCAAGTGATTGTTGGGAAATCGCGTAAGATGAGCCACTAACCGTTGCGTGCTATCCACAGCGGTACTAACGGTATCCGAACGCCATAGCGGCAAGGCCGAATGCGCCGGACTCAGACATCGCACATAGTGCTTAATAAGAATTACTTATCTCAGAAACAGAATATATAGATGGTTGCGTGGTTAGCTGAAATTTGTGTGTTCTCGAAGAGTGAACAAATACTGAGTCATATGGCAGAAGTCAGCAAAGATCATACTATGGAAACTACAACCTTCTCCTGAGAAGGGCAAAACGAATTCTGAGAAGGCAACGACTGAGATTGCCCGTTGAAAGCTGTAGCCGTTGATGAGCGTTCGATCGCAGTCGTTCTCCGACAAGTTACCTCGGTTCAGTGACCTGATGTCCTCGTCCGGTCAGAGTGTATTTGTCTATATATCATCTGCAATCGGCATACACGAACTTGCTTTATGCTCTCGAGTCTTGTCAGTGTTAATGTTGTATGTTTTGCCAACGTATCTGTTTGGGCTTCATGGAAACTGTGTGAATTCAACTATTATAACCATTATTAACCATCTTTTTATGACGTCTGACGTGGCCGGAGAAATGTGGCATTGCCCCGAAGGCTATGCGTCCACGAAAAGGGCGCTAATCAAGGTACTCGAAACAAGTGATATTTACTGTTTTGTAATGTTAATAGAAGAGGCAGCAATGTGACATTTTTTTAACGAGTAAAATTTTCAGCTACAAAAATGTTAATGGCTCATGCTACAGCTTATGGCGAAGCGCATGGAGCGCTTCATAAGGGCTGCTTTGTTTTTACATCCATTAAACGTACAAAACATAAACGTTTTTTTGTGTACGCACGTTACCTGTAACTGTACTGTAATGAGAACTTGCGAAGTGTGATTGATTCGAACCTATTACAAAAAACATACAACAATTAGTTTCTTTAATGCCTCTGCTTATCACCAAAAATCCAGTTCATTGCAATTCAATTAGTATGGAAACTTTCATTCTGACAGTATGCTTTCTATTTACGAAACAACGTTATCGTACGATGATACCTTGTACGATGATACGTTGTTTCGTATACTCCTTTATAGAATTAAAATTTTATAGATTACTTTTCTTTGTGAATATATATAGTGGGCTATATATATGCGAGTGATGGTGGACAGCTTTCCGCATATGTAATTTTCAGCTTCAGTCGCACTGCAACAAGATTGCAACACAAACGGCACGTTTCTATGTTATTATAGCACTTGACTATTTCTTTCTAAAATTTAGTTTCTACACGACAAGGTGTTTGTGATACAATGGAAAAAGGTTACGAGCTTAGTTAATCTAAATTGTCATTACCCGTCGGCATGTTTTCTGAACAAAAGTTCTGGATCGTTTTTCGTTTTTATATTTAACTAACGTCGACCCAATGTGGGTATTTAACTATGGTTGGTGCTCGGTTGCTACTGCAGGTTCATGGCTTAGTATACTCTGATAGACCACGCTACACAATTAACGCTTGAAACTCCATCAGATTGAAGACTGTTCTTGTAAAAAACCTATTCCCAAGACTGCGGTTCACTGATTTTACAAGGGACGATCCTGAGGATGACGTCTTTTTAAATATCTGATAAAATATCTCAAGGATTGTCGTCCATTTTACAGAATTACTAATGGGTCATTGAACATGTGTAACGGCCGAATACTATCCGGCACTTGTCGCCAGCGATTTTACGCAGACGCCTTTCATTGTTGTTATGTCTTTTGAAGTGTGAACTATAAGCAAAACATAGTCCGACTATTGGCGTGGTGATGATAATAAGAATAATGAAAAATGAACGGAACAGTTGTTTGCATAAATATTCGATTAATTGTATAATGTTGTTGGTCCAAATACTGAACTAAAAAAATTAAATTTGATTAAAAACTGAGATAACATAGTATTGTTTCAATGTAGTTAAGGTAATAATAAAGAACAAATTTACTTCAAGTAAATTCGCTTTTGCGAAGGCGTTTGTTCCCAGCATTGTATTGCCACGATGACACGGACAATAAACGATCAGAAAGTGAACTTGAAACACGTATGGTTTCTCACATCAACAGAAAGGCCTTAGGGGCCTTGTAAGATCTCGATAGGTGACAGAAATTACGAACAAGCAATCAGATATCGATATATTCGGTTGATGGACACAGTAAGAAACGGATAACCTTGTAATTAAGGCGGCCTATTTCTACCTAGCCATTTGTGAATAACATTACATTCTCTCCCGGTTAATCTCGAATGACGAACCAATTTCGACCTGAACAATTGGATGTGGTCTTTTGATAAATAGCCTGTAGTAGCGTATCCGCACTTTACCATTTTCAACCACTCATGTGTGGAAGTCTGTTTAATATAGGCTTTTATAGGCGCGTATAAACTTACCTAAGGAGATAACGAAAATTAAACCGCAACTGGATGAAATGCCAACATCAATTTACTGCTGGTATGTTTTATAATGCTTCATGACGTACGCAATGCTCTCAGTGACGTCACCTGGTACATTACATACATAGGTAAACGGAACGTCTACACAAATGTATACTCACGTATAGATCCTATTATCATTATCAAGCAAAAGCTTATTTTTTTGGAACAGATAACACAGACGTTTATTGGATTACGCTTTGATCTGCAGAATCCTTTTTTTTTTTGTTTGGCATTAAATAAATCGTATAATACAGTTAACAGAAAATGTATGCCGCTGATTTAATGTGAAAACAACAAGTCAAAAACACTAGTTTCAGTAGACTGCATCATTTATCTTTACGCACAATATGGATTCGATGATACAATATATTTCACTTCATCTTATTGTTCATGATCGCATTACTGTGCATTAACTTCCAAAGCCTGCTCACATAATTTTTTCTAGTAAATTATCCTGTGAAATATGATGGATTTGATCTTTTCGTTCCTTTTTGTACGGAAGCAGGTCTAACGTTCCGCGTTCGGTGCAAGCGCCGTTCGGCACAAGCGCCACTTCAGTTGTTTGCAGATGTCGTCGGGCGCCCCTTGCCACTTCGCACCGTTACACACTTAATTTCGTTACGTGGTTTTTTTTTATAGCCGCTCTATTGTTACGACGCAATTCATTGCTGGTTGGATTACAACAACTCTGTCTACGATAGCTGCTAACAATGTGCCAATTAATCGGAAGCACATACGGGTGTTGAACTGGCGATGATGTTTAGCCACGACCCTTATAATACGCTACGCTTATTATTTAAAAAACAGTTTTGCCGTAAAACAGTCTCTCGGTTATGCAACGCAACCGATTCATTTTGTAGGCATACATCAACTTGCGCATATCATCGTGGACTCATGAAGATGCAAATATGCTTGCCTTTGCTATGATGACTACCACCGTATCCGGATGCGGTGTTAGACTTACATTTTCGTGCTAAAAATGATGGCACTACTAGGAGCGCAATGCAAGACTGCGTCTGTCGGGATTACCGATAAAGCAAACTTCACTTTGTATTGTATATTTGTGTTTAGCGTATTGTGGTACGTGTGCGATATCCAGAGTCGCATACCTGGAAAATGAAGGAGAGAGCTCGGTTTTGTGGGGCAATGCGACTGTAAGTGTGCGGGAGTCACGCGACCTTGTCTCGTTTCTACTTTTTTTGCGCACGTTCGCCAGCTGCAGTTTGCCCAGCTATGTTAACCTGGATAGACAAACGGGCAGACCAAAGGCAAGCAGAGGATTTTGTTCGGTTCCGTTTTCTTTCTGGTGGTCCCCACTCCGGCTTCAGGGAGCAGCTTCGGTTATCGGTCAATAGCAGCGGTACTATTCTTGTACGTACGTACTGCTAAGACATCTGCAGCGCTCATGTTGCTAGCACTGCTGATCGAACTGGTCTTGACTTATTCGCTATTTGAGTCGCTGAACGCTAAAATCTCTACGGAAATCGCCATATATACTTGATTATCGTTCGAATGTATGTTGCTGCCGCGTTCGTGCAAAAGCCGTACGACCAAGACCCGATTGGTCAAACAATCGCGACTTGGCTCTCAAGGTCAACACATGTTGTCGCGTTTGTTGTGTTGGTCTGTCGCCCCTCTCATTGTTGTTGTTGCGGCTGGCGTTGCCGCGACGATCCAATGTCGTGTCGAACAAATGTTAGAATGAGTGGCTCTTAGGTACCGCCGACCGTTGTTTATATTATTATGCGCGAGCAGGGCACAAGATCCGGGCGTGATAGTCTACGCGTTTACTATGTTATGATTTCTACATGGAAAATACCATTTAGGTGTGATTGGCTTTATACATTGTCTAAAATATCTGTTCGTGTTTACTGCTGCTGCGGATATGACTAACACCTTATTGCTGAGCAGATGGACAGACAAGTAGAGATTTAGGCGGTACGATTATTTTTATTTACACGCAGCTAATGATATCAAAGTTCCCCTAGCATTTGACATATCCAATTCTGAATAAAAAAAAAAGGCTGCTTTATTCATTATTATGCTAGCAAGCTGAACATAATGTCAGCAGCTTGTGTGAGACCAAACAGGGGAATCTGACTACATGTACACCATTAAAATTCATAGTGAAATAATGAAAATGGTATGTGAAGATACTCACTCGGCATAAAATGGGTTGTACTACTACTATTACTACTACTGTTACAACAAAATATTTTTTGTGACTTTACTCTTATGCTCGCATCGCAAAGATTTCCTCCTCAGACTACAATTCCGTCATAGTATAACGTTATTGGTTAAATATGCTTTTGAAGCATTAAGGTTTTATACAAGCTGTGTTTTCAGTCTATGAAATATTTGCACGACGAAACAGAAAATAGTGGAAAAATATCATAGATGTGGTTGCTAGGCGATCCGACTTATGAATATATTTGATTGTCTTTATGCTGCACGCCGTGACAACAATATCAAACCGAAATACGCTATGATCAATAGAGGCAGACGCAGATTGCTTGGCGTATTTTATTGACTAGGACAGGAATTTTTGTTTGAACAATAAAAAAACTTATTAGCTTCATACTATCATAATAGTGGATGCCGAAACATACGATTTTTAATACATACGAAACATACGGTAATTTTTAATAATTACCGTGATGTTCTACAAGGATATGTTGTATTGACGAAGATAGCTTACGCTTATAAACTTTTAGTGCATCATGTAGGGTTGAGACTGTTGGAAGCGCCCGATCGACCTTAGCCCCAGAATTGCTTCCCTTGGTTCTCTCATCACAAGCTGCTATGTGCAGTTTGTCTAATCCCTTGTTTATAGTAAAGCCTGAATAAAACCCTATTATCGGTATCGATTAAGAATCGTATCCAATAGCAACGGTCTATTCGCATACACAATACTGGTCTGTATTACATGTATGCACAGACAGCCAAGGCCCGCGACGGTAGGTCTTGTCTCGTCGTAATAGTTGCCACAAAATACGCACTGTTTTGCTGCATGAATTCTCGTCGCTGATGGCAGCAGTTGCGCGACAATCAATGCGATCCGCGCGATCCAGTGCTCTATTTGCTGACGTTCGATAAGGTTCTGGTCTTCTGTAAACCACTGTACGTGTCGAACAAACAGTGTCGCTAATTTTATTATTACTCTCCATTATTATTAGGCTGCTGC